CTAAGGGAGAGGGAACTGGCCCTGGGCTCCGCTCAAGGAGGGGCTGGGGGCCTGGGCTCCACTCAAGGAGTGAAAAAAAAAAGGGAGGGGCTGGGAGCAGCAGGAGTGGAGAAGCCAAGTCTCGCTGCTGCGGCTGGACCAAAGGCCTGGATGCCGGGTGCCGGAGAAAAACCGGTGCCGGCAGCCAGGGACAGGAAGGCCTATTGCGTGAATCTTCGTGCAACGGGCCACTAGTTTTTACTATATTCACAGAGCTGTGCAACCATCACCACAATCACTTCATCACTTCCAAAAGAAATCCCATACCCATTAGTAACCAATGTGCATTCATTCATCTCTATCCCACTCCTCTAAACCCAACTCGAGACTTAGACAAGCACTAATCTACTTTCTGCCCTCTATGGGTGTAAACATTATGAAAAAGACTAAATCAATGTGAACATTTTGACTATAAGTATATACAATGTAATGTGAAGAAGGCCTAAGCAATGTGTGAGATTCAAGTATAACTTACTCTGCCACGTTCAACTTGTGTGGTCAACATTACAACCATGGAGGAGCCTTGTTCCCAAGTCATCTGCCAAAAATCTGTACAAGTGTGTGGTAACGGCCCTTGGCAAGCAATGTACTGATTTATAATGCTAGAAGACGGAATTTCCATCTTAAAAGAAAAAGACATGAAAATAAAAATCGATTATATTAGTACTTTTTACTATTATCAAGCATATGAAAATCATCCATGAAATAATTGAATGCAACTAATCCCAATAAACTACAAAGTCAGTACAACAAATCTTTAAATAAAAAATTTTTTTTTTTAATCTTCACCCGAGGACATGCTCAGAGACAGGAAGGGACAAAGGGAGGGAAGGAGAGGTGGTGGTGGGGGGGAGACAGGTAGAGAAGGGGAGAGGGGGAGAGAGAGAGAGAGAGAGATAGAGAGAGAGAGAGAGAAAGAAACATCAATTGGCTGCTTTGTGTGCCCTGACCGAAGATGGAATCCAGAACCTGGGTATATGCCTTGACTAGGAATTCAGCTGGCAATCTTTCGGTGCACGGGATGAGCCATCACAACAAATCTTTATGAACACTTTCTTATTTTACCTGTAGAAGAAATTTTTGGCAACAGCACATATATATATATATATTCCAATTAATAGAAACAATAAAAACAGAAGTCCAAGTATTTTTCAAAGCAGTATTATGGTTTTAAGAGAAATTTTACAGAGAACCCAGTTCCAGAGGCAGAGACTTGGTCTCTAAACACTTACCGGTAAAATTTGTGAGGAGCAAAAGTTCTGCCAATTTAGTTTAGATTTTATATAAAAAAATACTAGAGGCCCAGTGCACAAATTCATGCACACGGAAAGGAAATTAAATAGAATATTTTAATATCGCTATTCGGTCTTTCTCTATAATAGAAGTGTCAACCAAATTCACAATTGACAATGACAGATGGAAACACACACATGCAATTGGCGCTAACGAGAG